CAGCACCCTGCACCCAGACACTTGCTGAGGCCACGGCCGCTTCCTGCAGAGCGTTCAGTCCGAGCTAAAGTGCTGCACCCACGTGGGCCTCCCCGCCTGCGGGGCCAGTGGCCGGCCGGCCCTCACTGCATGTCCTCCTGCGCAAGGTCAGGGTGACCTCAGGACCCTGTGCGGCAGCGGCTCGGCCACTCCACCGATGGCGAGGGTCTGCCGGGAACCCGTCTTCAAGAAAGAGCCTCTTCCCAAAACAAAGGCGCCGCGGAGCCCAGGGTGGTGATAAGTATTCCAGCCCATGTCTGGTATGCTCTCCGGCGGCGGCGGGGTCACCGGGGTTCTATTAGCTCAATTAATGAGGAGGAGATAAGGCTAACGCCCCGCGCGCCCGGCGGCTCTGCGCGGAGCTGCAGTAATGGAGTTATTAACCTCAGTCAGCACTGACGCCGCGGCTGAGTCCAACTCCATCTCCTAGTTCAGGCTCCATTAACGGGCTGTTTATTACCCCTAATCCACGGGAGGGTCCGTGGCAGAATGGGCGGACCGCGTGGTGATGAGAGAGAGAGAGAGAGAGAGAGGCAAGACACCCTCTCTCGTTTGCATTTTTAATTTTTCTTTGGTCCATCCCTCTGCTGTGCTCTTTAGACATGATGTTTAGACGTTAGAGATGGCAGGGCCGCTACCCAAGGGGTCTACTGTGTGGTCCCTGAGAACACAGTGTCATAGGGAACTAAAAAGGAGCAAGCATGGCCCGGCCGGCGTGGCTCCGTGGTGGAGCATCGACCTAGGAACCAGCCGATCAGGGTTCAATTCCTGGTCAGGGCACATGGCCGGGTTGTGGGCTCAATCCCCGGTGTGGGGCGTGCAGGAGCAGCTGATCAATGGCTCTCTCTCATCATGGATGTTTCTCTCTCTCTCTCCCCCCCACCTCTTCCTCGCTGAAATCAATGAAAACATGTATTTTTTAAAGAGTAACAGCATGTGACCCAATCAGAGCGCCCGGGCACGTCAGCCGTGTTCACCTGTGCCGCGTCCCACAGGCCCCACTGTTTGCGCGTAGCGTGGTCGCACGGAGCATCACACCGCGCTCACAGCACATGGGTCCCCGTGGTTATGTGCCCCGATGGCGATTTCTCGGCCGCTCCCCTACCCACGTGCTGTCGGGCGAATAAGGAACTCCCTCCCCAGTGCAACCCGGGGTCTGCATGTCGTCCAAAGGCAAGAAACGCGAGCAGACGGCCGTCAGAGAAACACCTCAAGGCAGCGGTCAGAACCCACCCGCACGGAGCAGATGTGGCCGGTACTGCCCGCGGCTGCCCCGCCAGAGCAGGACTGCATCTGCCATTTCAGTAACAGGAGTTCAGAACCGCATGGCGACCACTGCAAAAACAGGCAAACAAACCGGCAGCGGGGCGAGTGAGTGACGGTGCAAACAGGCACGGAGGCAGGCTCACCGGACAAGCGGGCGTGAGCGCCGCTGCGCCGGCAGGAGCCCGCTCATGGCGGAGGGCACTTTCGGGTTATGAATCCCTCACACACGGACCCCTTCGCTCTGCACAGCCAGAGGGCTGTCCGGGCAAAGATCAGAGGCCACCGACAACCAGCCGGGGACAGGGTCAGAGCGAAGCGCTGGCCAGCAGAAGGGGTCAAAGTAACGGCCAAGAATGGGCGTGGGGCTGGGCTCTCCCCGGCGGCTCCGGGCACTGTCCTGAGCAAACTTCCTTCTCAGGGCCTGGAGCGGATGAAGTGAGACCTGACGCGGGCGCTGAGGGGCACACACCCTGGCAGGGAGGGGGGGAGGAGGAGGAGGAGGAGGAGGAGGAAGATGCTGGTTAAAGATGGAAGTCGGGCCGGAGGGGAGGCGGTGCCCCCAGACACACCTGGGACTGGGCGGCCGGACGGTCAGTGAGGAGAGGAAGGTGTTCTTGTCCCACCGGAGCAGCCTGCGCGACCGCCGGGGCTTGTTTGAAGCCCCCCTCCCCCACCCCCTCAGAAATCTGACCAGCTCCCAAGCCCGCTGACCGCAGGGGCCGCCTGGGTCCCCTCATGGCCCCTCCCCCCGGCTCCCTGGAAGAAAGGGAGTTTTAGCAAAAGCCGACCACACACCCGGCACAACTGGGAGCCAAGTGCGAGGACACCTGTCCCTGCTGTCCCTGCTTCCCCAGGGCAGCCCAGCCCCTCGCTCGGGCTCCTCTGGGTGTGGGGCGCACAGCTCCTTCGTCTAAAAAGTAATATAAGAAATAAAAACAGAAACACCTGGCCACACCACAAAGCCGCCTGGGACACACACCAGCTCCTCCAGACCAGCGGCCTGGGGTGACTTCTTCCCAGTCCCCCCACTTAGCCCAGTGGAACAGAGGGGGGGGACGGTGCAGGCCACGCTCATCCAGTCCTGCCACCAGCTGCTGAGCCCACTGCCACCCGCTCAGCCGGGCCCGGCCCCTCCCCCTGGGTCTCTGAGCCGCGGCAGCAGCTCTAACGGGGCCTGAGCCGTGGACACCACCCAGGCCTTGCCCGCCAGGAGCAGGGTCAAGGCCACGGCTGCCCGCAGAGGCGGGAAAGGGAGTCTGATACGCGGCCTGCTTCCCACCGGCAGCCAGAGCTGCTCCCTCCACCAGCAAACATTCACCTGCAAAGGCAACACCTGCTATGAAGTTGCGGCTCGAAATGGAGGCTCTGCAGCCCGTGGCGCCTGGCATCGTCCTTTGTTTCTTTCCTCTTCTTCCTTTTTCATTTTATTTTTATATTTTTACTATTATTATTACATTTTAACAAACTTTATAGCCCATTGTATTTGTTCTCAAATAACTTTTCCTCCTCCTTTTTGACACATCAATTACTCGGCTCATCTCCCTCGCGGTGCGCGGACATAATTCAGTGCGATGAGCCGGGGGCGCGAGGCGGGAGCCAACAAAACATGGCATTTGAACACCACCCCTTTATTGCTCTCGGAGGAGATTTATATTTGACAAGGAGACAATAACTTTGTTTCCTGATAAGCCAAAGGGGTCCCTTTCTGTGTCCAATACACGGAGCAGCTTGCCCTTCCCAATAATTCTATTTACTAGAGTGAATATATTTTAATAATAAAATTGATATATATGTAAATTTATTTCCATCTCATTTCATCGAACCCTCCTAAAAAAGAGCCTTGGTAGACGGTTTTCCCATCTGGATGATAGATCTCCGGGCCGTGGGCCCAGGTTGATTTCTGGCTGTAATTCTGTCGAGATTCCCTCCCCGCCGCCCAGCCCAGTGGCTCGCGTGCTCTCTC